GATTAATTAAACCAACTACAAATTATCGAGTAGAGCCGGCAGGAGTAGGTCGGTTTTGTTTGCCAGAAATCGGGGAATTGAACAAAGGAACACTCACTCAGATGCAGTTTTAACTTAAATTATTTGGATCTAGTTACACTTGACTGCAGCTACTGGTGCTCAAATTATTTTGCTCCATGAGATTGGTGAGGAAGATCGATCCATGGATGTAGAACCAAAAAAAAAAAAGGGGGTAGGGAAGAGGGTGGGAACTAGAAATTGCATCGCTGTACTCTAATAGCTGGTCAATAATGAATTGTCATAAGAAAAAAAGAAAAAGAAAAATGCTTCCCATCCATGGAGGATGGGGCTGACAATGTCAAGCTGGCGACCAAACGATAATTGCAAGATAATTCTTGGTTAGCTATCCATCTATATAAGATGGGCATTTTGCTTTAAAGTTTCAATTAAATATAAACATTGCTTCGTTTAATTATTTTCTTGATATGGGATTTATATCTCTTTTTTTTTTACTTTTCAGCTACGCCTTTATTTTATTTTTTATTTTTTGTTTATTTAGATTTGCTTCTTTTCCTAATGAAGATTCAACAATACGCATTCATGCTTAATCTTATTATTTTGTTTTAATTTTTCAATATAAAGTAACATACATTTATGCACGCATGATCCTAATTAATTAAATCAACTACAAATTATCAAGGAATGCCAGCACAAGCATGTGCGTATTTTCACCGGAAATCAGAGGTTTACACAAAGGAATACTCGACTAAATTATTTAATTTGTAGCATGAGATTGGCAAGGGAGATCGATTCGTGGATGTAGAACCAACAAAAAAAAAAGTTGGGAAAGGGGGTGGGAACTAGAAATTGCATCGCTGTACTCTAAAAGCTGGTCAATAATACTGAATTGTAATCCAAAAAAAGGGAAAAAAAAAGAAAAAAAAAAGAGGGAAAACCGTGCTACCCACCCATGGAGGATGGGACTGATAGTGTCAAGCGAGTGACCTCAGTTTATATTGATTGCAAGATAGTTTTTGAATGACTACCCATCTATAGAAGATGGGTATTTTGCTTTTTAATTTCAACTAAATATAAATATTATTTCGTTTGATTCTTTTTTTGATATGGGATTTATTTTTCTACTTTCTTTACCTTACTAACTACACTTTTAAATTTATTTATTTATATTTATTTCTTTCCTTGATAGAGATTCAACCAGAAGTAATATATACGCATTCATGCTCAATTTTAATATTTTCTTTTAATTTTTCAATATAAAGTAACATACATATATTAACACATGATCTCGATTAATTAAATCAACTACAACTTATCAAGGAATGCCA